GAGTAAAAATGAATGATATATTTATTCCTTAAAAAAATTCTGTCCTGTTGTTTACAGATGGGGTGTGGGGCGTAAGATGTGCTTGAGGTTACACAGGTAAGCAAGGCCGAGATGGAGTTTTGAGTTCACTTGGCAGTTTTCCCTCTTACTTTTACATCATTGGGACCTGAGCTCTTACTCTTTTGTAAAAATGGTATTTGCAGGGGCAGCCCCGGTGGCTCAGCGGTTTAGCGCTGCCTTCAGTCCAGGGCCTGATTCTGGAGACCTGGGATTGAGTCCCATGTGGGGCTCCCTGCATGGAGCCTGCTTCTCCCTCTGCCTGTGTCTCTGCCTCTCTCTCTTTCTCTTTCTCTTTCTCTTTCTCTTTCTCTTTCTCTTTCTCTTTCTCTCACTCTCTCTCTCTCTCATGAATAAACAAATGGAATCTTTTTTAAAAAAAAATGGTATTTGCATTTCCTGAAAGGAAGGCTGTCGTTGGTCTCTTTCTCTCTGGGTCTCTGAATGAACGAATGAACGATTGAATGATTACAGAAAAGAAATACAATACTTGTACTGTGCATAGATTGGTAAAATGTTTAAAGATTTAGTGGAATACTTTTTTTTTTTCTGAAAAATGTTCCTGTGTTTCCTGCTTGATAAGTTTATCCAGCCATTTTTGATGAAATTTTCAGTACTTGGAACCTGGCCTCTTACCGTTGAGAAGTTTGCTGGATTGTGATCTTCTTTCCTTGGCTTTTAAACCAGCATTTTATAATTCCAAGACTCCATGTTTGTAAGACTGAAAAATTAACTGTTCCTCCTTTCACCTTTAGTGCAATGCATATTTCTTCTGGTTTTGTAGTCTCTGTATTCTTTGCTTTCTAAGACAGGTGAGTTTCAGATCTTCTTACTGTCTGAAAATACACACTTCAGAATGACAGTAAGTCACGCCTTGGTGGAGAAAACAGTTTATACTGTGCTTAGCTTTATCTAAATTCCATTTAGAGCATGTCAAGGAGTCCATACTCAACTTAGTCCTTGGTATTCATGAGCATCTACAAACTCAAGAATTTTCACAGATGAGTATTTATGATATGGGGCATAAAGAATATTACTCAAATTGTTAAGAAAAATCAAAATGTTAAAGATTATTCCTAATTTGTCCCAAATCATATTGCTTCATTTTTTTGGCCTTCATTTCACATTTTAGATCCTTAGTTCCTAGTTTTGTATAAACATTATATGAAATAAGGAATAAAAAAATTGGAAAGAAAAATGATTAAAGTATGTGCTATGGTTCTAGAGGTACCAAATCATTTTTTCATTTCTTGGAGGAAAAAAGTCTAACTTTTGAAGGAGATTTCATTTGTAAAATTGACTCTATACTTTATAAGCAATGTTTAAATTCATTGGTGATAAATATGCATGTTGGTATAGTAAAATCCCATTTTTTACATAATGCTTTAATGGAAATGGCAGTTTTATGAAATGAAAGTGACTAGTAAAAATCTGAATGATGCTCATAAGCCTTTACATCATTTTTATTGAGGTTTTGTATATTCTAATTCATTAATACGGGGGAAAAGGAGATCACTAACATGGTTTATTTCCTATAATTACTCAAATCGAATATAATTTATTTTCAATAAAATTCTTAGAGTACATTGCCCAGGGTGGAGAGAAGAGGGCTGGCCTGTTTTTACAAAATGTCTGGTTTTTACTCAGACTTTGCTGTTTTAACAATGTTGTTCACTTGCTTATATTTTCAGTATAGTTCCCTCTAGATTTTTACAAATAACCTACATAATTGCAAGAAATCTCAAATGCTTAAAAAGTCCAGGATTGAATGTTAAGGGAGAAACCTGGGTTATTTATTTTATTCTACTTATTACTACAAATATTGTTTTTCTTTTAATAATTCAGACTACCTTTTATGTGATTCATAATGTGAAACATTACTTAAATTACCATGTAATAGATTAACTGGGGAAATTTCCAAAAACCACTTAGTGTTTACAGTTAAATTTGGTTTATTTTTGTGGAATACCTAGAAGAAAAGGTCAGTGTAAGGGATAACCAAATACTTAAATTTTGGTGCTCCCCTACCTCCAACTTCTTGAGGTAGGGCAAGGAAGAGGAGACACTACAATGAGTTGGAAACAGGTAAATATTCTTAATTTCATCATAGTGAAATCTTGCCAACAACTCTATTTTCTGCTCAGTATGCTTCAGACCACCTTATGAAAGTCTGTTTTTGTTTGGATGTGATTGTGGGCCATTATGGATTTTTGGCATTCTGATCTGAAGATGCTTCCATATTCTTGAGACAGAATTTTGTTGAAACTAATAACTTTTATATCCCTGCCCCCAGGCTTTATATTTGAAAGCTCACTCCTTTTCAGGTGTCTCTTTATGTAGACACAGTTTTGTCTGTTTTCTTCTTTGCCCCAGCATTGTGGAGCTACCTGAACTGGAGCTGCGTTTGCATGGAGTTGTTGGGATTGGCAGCTCTCATGTAAAGGCCAGAGAATGTGTATGTGTTTGGTGGTTATGCCCACATAGGTGTATGTGCTGTTTGTGCATGCGTGAGTGTGTGTGTGTGTGTGTGTGTGTGTGTGTTTGTAATTGCTCTCTTTGACCCCAGAAAATCAGAATTGTGTTTAGCTGTTCTTTTTTCCTTTTACCATTGGTGAAGTGATCTCCACTCTTAAGCAAGTAAAGAGACTTACTGGGGGATAAGTCAGATTGTGTGCTTTGTGGAAGGTGGAAAAGGGTGGAGTTATAGAGAGCTGCTGCCTCCATAATCCTTCAAACACTGTCTCAGCACCAAGTATCCTGTTTCTCCCTTGATGCCAAAAACTTGATACGAGGATGGAGCGTTGTCAGCATGTGGCTCTCCTTCATTATAGCTGAAAATCTTCTTAGGCCACAGGGCACCTGCTCTCTTGGGTAAGCTTTTGGTTCTCAGTAAGGAGTGGACTTGGAGTGTAGTGAGAAGGTTGTGATGGGTGTCAGTCGGTGAGATGCACTACCAAAGGTGCTTTTACCCATATCTGGCTACAACTGCACCTATAAAATGCCTGACTCCCAGAGGGCCAAACTCAGGGCTTATTGGAAAGGTAATCGGATGGAAACATTCTCTTCAGGTATTTCATTCTTGAAGGTGCCATTGCCCACGAAATGAGGATGAGTCTTGGTGTAAGTAACTCCAAACAGTAGATGACCCAGGAGTACAGTTGATTCTGCTATAATGCGACATACACATTCCTAAAAATCATCATACTATGTAAAATAATAGCACGATAAACAGGACTTAGAAGAGAGAGATGACATTAAGTGTAGACCATTCAAAAACTTTTTTGGTCGTGCACACACATGGATAGGAACCTAATCATGGTTTTACACACATTAAACGGGTTAGAAATACATATATATTCAATAAACATGGCACTTCACCTTGAAGAAGACATGAAGTTTGCTTGTGGAAGTGGCGTCGGAAGAGTTGTAGTTTGTAAGTCACTGTACAGTGGAGGAAGGCGGGCAGGTGGTGATATCAGGTGTGGGTGGGTGTGGCTGCTAACCCACAGGTGAGCTGAGGTAGCAAATAGGGGTTGAGTGTGTAGGGGTGTATTTTATGTGTTTCTAGTCAGCTTGGTCTAGCTGGATGCAGTTTTCTGTGTTCATGTAGCATTTCTTGCAGACAAAATCATGCATAAGCAAATGTGAAATTTGTTTTATGCTTAGATTGTCCCCCTAATATGCACATCAATCACATTGGAACAAATTCATGATTTCAGACTAAGCTTTGTGGCAGAACTGTCTGTAGTTTATTTGATTCTGGAACTGAGTCCTTTTGCTTTCTTCCTTTCCATCATTATTGATTTCTTAATTTATATTTAAGTTAAGCCCATATCAAATTGATTTTTTACACCCTGAGCACTTCTGAAGGAGAGAAAGCAGCTTGAGATTTTAATTTTACTACAGCTTATCCACCAGGTAGTTTCCTCCTTAGTGAATATCTTTGCCTGCCTGCCTCTCTCTCTCTCTCTCTCTCTCTCTGTCATCTGTCGTCTATCTAGATACACACACTGAGACCTTTACTAGATGCCAGGCACAGTGCCTAGAGATATAGAATGTATTCTGTATTCTGGAGATACAAAAACTGGTAAGATATCTCCCATATTAGTTACCTCAGGGGACAAGGAAAGCTTATTAACTTCCTCTTTATACATCTCTTATTGTTTGGCTTGTTTTAAGAAGCATGTTTTACTTTTTTAATTAAAAAATCTAATAAAGTAGAAAATGAATAAATAATAATAATAAAAAATACCTTCAGGGCACTGAGCTTTGTTTCAGTCTTCCCAGTAGCCTGTGTAGTTATAAAGCTGAACATGACGTTTCAGGTGTGGGCTGCCTAGCAGGACTCTGAATTTGCTGTAATTAATGCCATGGCAGCAACACTATTGTGGGGAATTTCTGTGTTTATAGACCATTTACACCTCAAAGTCATTCTTACATTTGCTGCCCTTGGCTCACTCTGCCTTTCATAATCGTGGAACCTAGTTTAGTCCTCCAGATTCTCCCTATTAGAGTTCATCTTACTGTAGAAATCAGTATTTAACATAGGTTAAGAACTGGTCTTGGATTCAGGCTGCCTGGAGATCCTAACTACCTATTACTAACTAGCATGAATACTTAGACAAGAAATGCATATTCCTGAGCCCATTTTCTCATCGGTAAAACCACAATAACCATAAAGTTGTGAGGTTTCAAGGAGAAACTAGATGTTAGAACACTTACCTAGATTGCCTGGTGGTGTGGTAAGAACATGGTGAATTTCAGAAGCTACTGCCAGCCATTAACCTCAGTTCCTTTCTCCCATCCAATGATAGTGCGCTAGTTCTGGATCTTGAATCTTCCCCTAACCATATACCCCATATTCCTTTCCCACCCTGGAGCATAGATCAGTCTTATAAATTTGTCTCATCAGATCTCCAATCAATCTCTGTCTCATTCCACAGGTCCCTTCACTGATGTCGTCACCACCAACCTAAAGCTTGGCAACCCAACAGACCGAAATGTGTGTTTTAAAGTGAAGACCACGGCACCACGTAGGTACTGCGTGAGGCCCAACAGTGGGATCATCGATGCAGGGGCCTCCATTAATGTATCTGGTAAGTCCTGAGATTGGAGGCCCACAGGGGTGGGCCAGAAGGTCCCCCGAAGCCAGTAGGGTTTCTTAAGTTTGAGTTTGCAATAGCAAAATAAGACCACAGACTTCTCCCTCAACCCTCCACTCTCTGATTAAAACACTTAGTGGGTCCCACTCCCCTGTTGGTTTTCCATAATTAATGCCTCTTTGGTTTCATGCTTACAGCCTTCTGCGCCTCAATAGTTAAAGTAAAATTAAAGTGGTAACTTCAGACTTTACTTCAGAATGAGTTTGGTTTTCACTCCCTTGAAATTAAATCTGCCCTTTGGCAATAAATAAAAAAGGGCTAAACAAACTTAATTTTACTTTGTGGGAGAACGCTAAATGGAGTTATTTTCTTATTTAAGCTAAATGGTTTCTGACATTAGGCTCGTGTCATTCCCAATGATTGGTAACTGCACTTTACTGATGGTGAAAAGCTTGGGGAGGTGAGGACTGAGGAGACTGGAATATATCCAAGGGCGAAAGTTTTGTGCGTGTCTGATGGGTTTTTCCCTTTCTGTCTGAGAATGCATATATTTTCCAAAGTCCAGCATTTGAAAAGATGCTGGTAAAGTGCCCAGATTGAGAATTGGATTTTAGAATTAAGGAGATGTAAGTGATGGGTTTGCGTTTAAATGTCTTATAGAAATGGAATAAACTTTCAGCTCATTAGAACTTCTGGATTCAGGATGCCTTTTGTATTTGTGGAGGAACTGTGGGGGAGTGTGTGTTTATCCTATAAAAATCAAGAGACTTTGTGTCACAGAGGGTTCTGCATCATTAGAAGCTCTACTACTCATTGAAATGGGTACCTGACTGGCTTTTTCCATGACAGTTTTTGATTGTGATGCATTTGGCTATTCATTTGACACCTAAAGGAAAATGATTCACCTCTTTGGAAAGATACAAGGTGTTTCATTATCTGATCATTTCTGCAAACTCTTATTCCCCACACCCATTGGTCTCTCTCATTATGGTGCTCCCACACCAACTATCCCCCTGTGTTCTTCTCTCTGAGGCTGCAAGACCTGATCTGGACTCTTGAATTGGGTTGTTATCCAGGAAGTCAGGAGGGTGAGAGCCAGATTTTATTGAGGGTCTCCTTTGTGCTGGGCCAGCACACACATTATCTTCTATAATTTCTGTTATTTGGCCTGTGAGGAATGCATCATTACCTGCCTTGTACTAAGAAAGAGACCTGTGGCTGTAGGCTCACAAAGCTAGCAAGTGACACAGCCAACATTGGATCACTGTGTCTGGCTCCAAAGCCCAGACTAAAGTGCAGTGTGCTGGGTAAGGAAGGGGTCCAAGGTGTTGGTATTTCTGTACCCCTTGGATTCATATGGTTTCAGTTTTTCTGCTGAAATCAAGGGCAGCTGAAATCTTTATTCTCCTCTTTTATTGACTTTTGTTTTTCCTCTTGATTTCTTTGCCCATATCAAATTTGAGCAAGGTTGTCAGTAGATGAGAATTACCAATTTTCACGGTAAATAAGAAGGCAGCAACATACTTTCTGAATAAAATAGCCTCCACAGGCAGTTGTACGGTGTAGGTGTGCTTTCCAGTATGAAATATAAATGTTTGTGGATCTCTTTTCAAAAAGATTCATCCCTCCCCCATCATAGGAATGTGGTTTTTTTTAAAGATTTTATTTATTCATTTACTTGAGAGAGAAAAAGCACTCAACCCAGGGGAGGGGAGGGTGAGAAAGAGAGAATCTCAAGCAGATTCCCCGCTGAGCACAGAACCTGATGTGGGGCTCAGTCTCACAACCCCAAGATCATGACCTGAGCTGAAACCAAGAATCAGATGTTTAACTGACTGAGCCACCCGTGTACCCCTATTTTAATTTTTTTTAATTAAAAAACTTTTTTGGAATGTTTTTTAAAGCATTACTCCAAGGCATTTGTTTTGATTTATATTTATTTAAAGAAGACCCAAGATTTTGTGGTGGCAGCCTTTCTTTGCAGATAAGAATGGAAGGTCTAGAGAATAGGTGTGATTATCTAGAGTCACATGGGTGATTAGTACTAGAGCTGGTACTTGAAACTAGCTTTGCTGCTGGTTCAGTGGCTCTTCTGTGATATGAAACTGCCTTAACAGTGTTAGGAAGTGACCCCACTAACAAATGAATGTAAAGTATAAAGTACCATGGTTCTCAAAATGTAATGTACTTGGGGGAAAGCAAATGAATAATAAAATACCCTGTGTCTACAGGCCTTATTCCTAGATGAAACAAAATTCTGTTTGTACATGAGAAAAGGCTCCTTTGTTTTTACTTGGTGTATATTTAATCTCACAGCTTCAGGTGCATTTGGGTGAAGCCAGATGTCATTGCATTTCTGGGACACCATCTCCAGTTAACAAAGGAGTCTGCAACCCATTTGTTGCAGCTTTGCATGCTGAGGGACCATTGTATAATTTATTAGACATTCATACTTTGGAGATTAAAAGCACTGGGCTTCTCTGAGGTCCTCTTAAAATGCAGCTATATGATGACATCTTCGTGAGTATGTAGAGTTTCTAGGTTCCTATGGAATAGAGAATATCCTCAGGACAAGAAAGATACCAGCAGACAGGCAGTGCAGATTTCCGAAAGGCCAGGTGTCCACATGGCCAAATTTGGCATCACCCAGTCTCCTCAAAGATCACTAGATTTGAGGTCTGGGAACCTGAATGGGAAACTTGGTTGTGCTGTTTAACCTGTTGGCTGATCTTTGGCTGATCCATCAATGTCTCTAGGTTCTAGTTTTCTCATTTATAAAATGGAAGGAATGGTATCTACCTCACGGAGTACTTCCCAGTGCTGTGTCAACTGAAAGCATAGCACAAAAGTGGAATTGTGTTTTTTTCTCACTAGCTTTGACAAAAACTGGGTAGTTTTTGTTGAACATGGATTGTATTATGTTTGAATTGCTTTTTTAGAAATAAATTAATTGCATACATTTTATTAATGGACTTTTGCTAATTTAAAGAAGAAATATGTATTTTTCTTTCTATAATATGCATTTGTTCTCTAGTGAAAAGCTACTAGTGAATTTTCAAATATAATCTATCAAAAGGTGGCCATCAAATCAACTTAAAATACTACCAGCATTGCCCTGTCTACCACAGATGTCACAGCATACCTGCAAAGGACATGCCTAGTACATTATTTCTCTCCCATTTCTGAAAACCCTTGGGATGTGCTACCTATTAGGGAAGGTTATAAATCATTCTTTGAGAGCAGGGGCAGGGAGGGAAAGAAGGAAGAGGGAGGAGGAGGAGATCCACCCACATAGCTGGCCAGACGGACTGAGGTTTTGAAGGCACACAAATCAGGTTAATATTGGGGGGAAAAGAGGAGAGACTTTGTAGCTATCAGATATCTTTCTGAGGCACCCTGTGACGCTCTTCTTAGCTTTCAGGTAAGTTTGATATTCGAGGGAGCTTACATTGTGTGTCCAAGGTCCAGACTCTGAGCTATCTTGTTATTTTCTCCGGAAGATGGCAGATTACTTACTGAGTTCTTAAAAATAACGACTCTGTTTTAAAAACTTAGGGGGGAAAAAACAAAAACAAAAAAACTTAGGTGGTAAACTGGGGTTGGAAACAGGCATAATCTAAACTTTGTGTTTGTAGGTGAAAAATGCATGGCTTTCCCAAAGGGGTGTTTTTGGGTCTGGTCACCTGGGTCTAGGATGGGAGTCCTTTCCTTTGTCCTTTATGTAGGTGCTCATCTCATCTCATCCGCCCAGTAGCCCCTTCTGTGGTCTCTGCCTATTGGATGAGCAGTGTAGTAGATGAAAGAGTGCTAAGCGCTTTCTGTTTGGATCCTTTGGCCCAAAATGCCATGGTTTTGGCCCTTGCTCCTTGATACACACCATCTACTAGAGATGGTTTTGAATTATTCAAATCTGGACCTCAGCAAAATAGCTACACTTAAATGGAGATTGGGGAAGAGGAGATTGGATTTTTCCCCCCTGAGATTTTAAATGCAAGGAAAATAGAACTTTTTGAATTAATGAATTGTTTGAAGCAGTGGGGGGTCTCCCCATTTGTTCTAGCTTTACAAAATTAAATCTATTTTCTGAACTGTCTGGTGGGAAAATATTTTTAAGGTAGATAATTTCTGAAAATGTCTTTGTGGTAAGCTGTTAGCGGTTGTGGATTTTTTTTTAATACTGCAGTTTAATAATGAGGGAGTTTTCCATTAATATTCCAAACCATGTTTGCCAGCGGATACAGCAGGTGAAGTGGTAAAATTATGGGCCCATCAAAAATACTTATGCTTCCTGTAATATGATATTAAGTTTAATATTTTTATAACCTTCACTGAATTCTAATTTCACTAAAGTAGCAAGCATGCTTCCATTTGCAGTTCAATTATGCACATTGGTTGCCTTTGTACCAAGCAAATTAGAAATGCAAAATATCTGTGTGTGGGGGGGCATTGGAAAGAGTCATTAAAGATACCAATATTTAGGTACAGATACACTTTACTAAGTGAATCCTGGGAATTGAAAATGGATCAAAGACAAACAACCACAAATCTAGTAGAGTCTGAATCAGTATTTTGAATTAAAATTCAAAGAATTAAGGCGCATTGTTCACTCCTGAGATGCAACTCTTTCCAGCACTCCTTTCAATCACATGTTAAAGCATAAAGTTCTTCCAGTAAAATCCTGAGGACAGAGAATGCATATCAGCAACTCTTCTTGGATGGAAACATTGGTCAATTAAAGTAATTGGGTAGTATTGCAATTGATAATTAATCCTTTTAAGATTTTGCTGACTCAGTTTAATGGAGCTGCTTGCCTGTTCTGGACCAGTCAGCCTTGGGCTGCAGCTTTTAGGTGATTAGCACCAGCGTATAAATGCACTGCCCTTAGAGAAAGAAGCCAGGCATTCATCTGTCAAGTGCTGATAGCAGGAGCTAAATTTGGGGGGTTTAGGCATCTTAACAGTAACATTCTTCTTTGTTTGATCATTTGCTTTGGA